GATATATCCTTTTTTTTTTTTTTTACCACAGTTATAGCATTCTGAATTTTTCCATGGACAGTCTTTCCCAAGTTTTTCAACATCAAGCTTCAGATTTAGCATTGTTTAGCAATCATCCATTATTTCTTGTAGGGTTACATTATTATTATGTTCAATCTTTGCTAAAATCTTCGATTGTACTTCAGCATCTTTTCCCGCTATTAGACCTTGCATGAAAATTAATCCCTTGAACATATCTGAAGTCATTTCCTTTAGTTTAAATTGTTCACATTCTCTGTAGACAGTACCCACATACATGACAAAATCTTCATCCTCTTTTTTGATTAAATTCATGCACTTCCAACAAGCATGGAACAGAGAGCACTTGTAACTGAAATTATTTTCTGTGTCTGCAAACCCTATTTCACCTGGTTTTCTTAGTAAAATATAATTTCAGTACTTTTTGTACTCTATTGGCATTATTTTTCTTAACAACAACCTGATTTTTTTTATCTTCTTCCCAACCACTGCGTTCCTAAATATTTCTTCATATCTGTGAAAATTTGCAGCAAAAGTCATTCCATCATCAGAATTGTATACGAATTCTGATATGGTGTTTTGCACCATATCTGGCATAAGAGATGTTGATGCATTCTTTTTCAAAACCACTTCCAACAACTCATGTTGTTGCTTCTGTTGTTGCTGTTGAATTTCAACTATTGAAGCCAAAATTTTCTCCATATCTGCAAGGAATTTTTTTTAAACCAATGTATTTGAAATACTTGTAACTCCTGTTGCACATGTATGAGTTTTGAAAATCTGGTCGCCAACTTCAGTTATAATGTTGCACTTGATTTACAGATCCTTGTCAGCAACTATAATAACTTCTTTTTGTAAGTTTATTATTATAACATACACTCATAATTGGTATAACATAATTTGTTAAAGTATTCTCCATATGTAATGCTTAGGCTATTGCTGTAATACCTGTATAGTTAGTATGAAGACTGACTCCAATACGACTACTTCATACCATGGAACTCTTTATAGTATTGGATGAGTTCAAAGAGTCACCTGGGGCATACTCTTTACTCCACAACACTTTCTGATTTAGTTTACATGTCAGCCAGAAGTAAACACTAAGAAAGCAAAAATAAAAAAGTTGTTCTCTACACAGGGGCTCTGATCATCACATCAGGCACGTAAAACAAATCCACTCAAAAAAATATAAAATACAATAATAAAGGAGCTAATCACAAATGTTGCTACCAAAGAAAAATCTTGAAAAAAAATGATGAGTCATGATCCACCACAGTTGCTTTTAAGAAGGCTGCTCACAACACTGTAAAGAGTCAGAGCAAATGAGCAACCTGTTAACAACACTACCAGATATCTTGGTCAACCAACCCAACACACATTAACTCCAGATCATACCAACTCTTCTCTTCCTCCAAGTCACTTCCTCTGTCCTCTCATATCCTCTGTATTAGCAATATAAAGAATTTTATATTAACAATTCTTGTCTTTTCCTTTCACATCAATGGTGGTACTTGTTTTGTTTGTTCACTCCTGCTACCATACACATATTTATAACAAAGATACAGAGAAATATTTTTCTGCATAGCTGACTATTGCCAACCTTGCTGAAAAAAAAAAACTTTCAAAAAACACCAAATTAATAGAATGTCCTCCAGCCTCTACCTTATATTAATCCAATAGAAAACTTGTGGTTCATTATTCAAAGAGATATATGTATTGGAAAACAATATTCAAGCAAAGAAGATCTGTAAAGCAATTAAAACAATTGCAAGTATTAATAAGGTCAAAACAGCAGAAAACCAGTTGGATTATCAATTCCATCTCAAGAAAAATCTACCAGCATGTTGATGTGATGATTCCATAATTCACATACAGGACTTTGAGAAATTGTCATTTGGATTGATTTATAAATAAATTTATGCTACTCTTTGTAAGCATAAAAACTGACATCCTGAAAAAAAAGTTATTATTGATATATTTTTAATAATGAGAGAGATTATAAACTCAACATAAATATGTCATGAAACTTGCCAACATTAGTTGGTTAATATAAATTTTATATTTGTGCATTGAATATTTCTACCATATCTGGTCTGGTTCACCTACTAGATATCTTGAGATACTGTAGAAAATACAAAAAAAAAGTGTCTAATGTTAGAAACCTAGCATCTTGACTTCAGTTACTTTCCCACCACAGTGATGTGGCTTCCCTCTGTCTTTTCTACAAATATTTTCATTGCAATTGTTCTGATGAGCTTTCCTTCTTGGTACATCGACTGCAGGAATTTAAGCATACTACTATTGGTAATTAGGTCTCACCATTTTACAGTTGAACTAGCTAGATGCAATCATATATTCTAATAATTTTTTCTCACATTTCTCAAATGTGGATATCCAGTTTAATTTCTTCCTTCCCTTACAATCTTCAAAAATTTAATGCAGTGCTGATCACCATCTTCAATCTTCCTGAACCCTGCTCTTTATTTGTCCTTTCTCCTCACTAAAGTCTTCTTATTCTCTTTCATTCTGAGTAACCCCTTGCCACCAGGGGATGCCCCTGGAATTACCCCTTGCCACCAGGGGATGCCCCTGGAATTACCCCTGGTGGCATTATCACCTTTCTTGGGATGAAATGATTAAAAAAAAATTTTTTAAATGAAAACATTGACTTGCATCATAAAATGTGACAATTTCAGATGATTTAACCTTGATAAGAAGGAAGCCCCATTAAATGGAATTGAATTCGAAACCAAGAGTACAAAACAAATGTACAGAGATTTTGATTTGCCTTAGTCAAAAGCATAAAACCTGATATCATGTGATCAGTTGTAATGAAAAATGACTTGTAAAACAACAGATGACAAATTTTATATAGTAGCTGCATGGAAATGAGAATTAAGAATAACAACTGAAACTCGTCTTCAAATTACCCAAACAGATATGCAAGACCTTAAAAGGCATTCAAACCTTAAACAGCACTCATTTAGTGAATAAAAAAAAAGTATTCTATTGCTGCAAAAATGATATTAAATCAAAGATGAATGGTGACTTTCTTTCACCCCTACCAATTCACTTAACCTCTGCCCTAAGGACTATTATTTTTTAAGCATCTGGACTATTTCACTAAACATTGACAATGCTTTCGGTGAATTTATTCTTTCAATGAAGAAATATTTAGGAAAGGAATTGACAAATTGGTGCCATGGTAGAAACATTTATAAATTTATCAACAAATTTTAAATTTAATAAAGTACATAAGTTTTTAAGTCATTAATTCAACTCCCCTTCCCTATTGTGCAATTGCCAGTCATCTTGACCCTGTAGATGTGTGGGTAGTGTAATGGTCAATGACCCAGAAAGAGAAATCAGTATGCCAAGTTCAAATTCCAGATGAGTTTGTATTGTTCACTTTCACACACTTTCAAAAAGGTATAAATCCATCTCTCTTCCCCCAGCTATGGCTTAAATAAACCAGTCTAAAAAAAAGAAAACTGATTTCAAAATCAAGCAGCTTGAAGAAGGATTGGCTTCATCGGGCTATTTTACCAAATACATACCACTTCTGTAAACACACAACAATAGCAGTACATATAGTGCTCCTATGACCTTAATGGGTTACAGGACTCATGACATGACTCCAGAGTGGTAGACAGTTCAAAGTTTGTTCAAGTACCATATATCAATGACTTGTTGCATTATAGATAGAGAAGGGAAATAAATTCCTTTGCTTATTAATCATTTAACCTAAGCAAGTTCCATTAAATTGTTTTATCAAGTGATGTCTTAAGTTACACTTTTATCCAACCTGTATTATGGAAGGAGGCATGAAAACGATACAAAGAATTAATGTAAAAATCCTTGCATTATCAATTGCTTAATACAAATATTCCAAAAAGAAAAAAAATATATAAAACCTGAATCTTGTAACATTTTTCATTCAAATATGCTTCATTAAATTAGAGAGACAAAAGTTTATGGATAAAAACAGTAAATTTTGTGGCTATGTGTCAGACTCAAATTAGTAAATACTAATACTCTAAGTAGAATACTTAAAAAAAAAATTGTCATCTACTTATCTCTATCACTCAAATTAAAAGGAAATATTTTTTTTTAAAAAGCCCTTGAAAAAAATTGTTCTTTCATAATTCTGATTAAATACTTTTAATGCTACTCATCAAATTTCAATCCATGAGGCCATAACATAGCTATCCCCCACCCACATTACTGGACAGATGCAATGATTATGATTACTCATAAATAAAGAGATAAATTATATACATGACAAAATATAGTTTTAAAAGTTTACCATATTTATGAAAGAGATGAAAAGTAGTTTGCATGTAAATATAAGAAGCTACAGTCTGTCTCATGATTAAACACATTCATCAGGTTTAATGATTGTGTTTAAGCATGAAGGATTGTCACCATACCTTGTTAATACCTATGTCTGTATATATATATATATATATATATATATATATATATATATATATATGTGTGTGTTTAGAGACATTAACTGTAGATTTCAAAAATATTTCTTTTTCATTGCAATTCATTAATTCTAAACTATATGTTTATGAAATATGTGATATCATAGGCAGGATTTCATTATCTCTCATAAATAAACTAAAAAATTCAATGGTTAATTTTGCAGTGTATAATATTCAGTTTTACTCTATTATCAATGAAGACTATCAGTTTTTATGTTCTTAAATAAAAGATGATAGATATGAACAGATGAAACAGACAAGTGTAGATTGGAAGCAACAAAAATAGAGACTGGAATGTTTATATAGTTACAAAGAGATTTGAATAGCTCAGGAAATCAATACAAAAACAGAGAAAAGTCACTTCAGAAGAGAGCACTTCTCAAAAGATTCAAACCAGAAAAAATAGCAGATAAAAAAAGGCTGCAATAACATTCTCTAATGAATGATCACTTTTTTATGAGAAGATTAAAATAGAAAAATAGAAAATTTTACCTTTTCTAGCAAGTAGTTCTGTATGTGACCTCCAACTGGATCTCCTTTGAAGTCAAAATTGATATCCATATACTTTCCAAATCGACTCGAGTTGTCATTCCGATTTGTTTTGGCATTGCCAAATGCTTCCAGAATGCAGTTGGATTTTATCAGAATATCTTTTACTCTGAAAAAGAAAATTATTTAAACTTTATATGATATTTTAGTCATTTTTAATACAAGAAAAGAAAATAAAGTGCATGTATATGTGTCTATCTATTTGTAGCTATATAGTCATACAGTCAGCCCCCACTTGTGGATCACAGCAGCTTCTAACAACCAGGCTGGGTGCATCAGCATCCACCAGGCTGAAAGCAATTTTTAAGTATGCTGTTATGCCAGCCTGTAGGAAAGAAAAGAGAGCTAGAAAAAAATAAAAGCTCTCTACTAAGCAGATTTGTTGTGCAATTACTGTGACAGGTCCTGCTGGGCTCATACTGGCCTCATTAGCCACAAGGTATATGTGCCAAGTAAAGACAAAATTAACCAGACCTTTGAACTCATTTTCAATATTGAAACAACTGGCAACACCACCAGCACATATGAGGGAGAGAAAGAAGCATGCATAAAGTGGTTTGCTTTGAGATTGCATGGCAAATCATTTCAAAAGTCCAAGAATAACCATTAAAGAGTTTTGGTCTTCATTAACAGACACAGAGGAGCTCAACAAGTAAACAACAAACCAATGCCCTAGGGATGAATCTGACCTTATGAACAAATTTCAAATGTAGATTTTTCTAAATTGCTTAATGCAATATGGTCAACTACAAGTAAATATGATATTGGCAATGGTAGTGAAAATAGTCAATATCTAAGTAGAAAAATCAGTATGTTACATTATAGCAGAAGTTACAAATATCAAATGGAGTCAAAAAATCCTACAACACTGAACCCAATTTATTGATAGAGCACATAGGAAAAAGTCAGTGAATCAAACTGAAAGCAGGAAATCATGAAGTTAAACGACTAAAAATAAAAACAAAGAATTACCAGCAGTTGATGCAGAGAAAAATGCAAAATGATCAGTAGAAAGTAAGAAGAATGGCAGAGGATTATTTGATTATTGAAGGTAATCATCCAAATGACAAAGGGAATGTAGACCACATAGAATTAGTGTACTCCAGGACAATGGAACCAATCAAAACTGAATTTTGCTCTCAGCAACATATGCTCATGCCATCAAATCTCAGATTATACAGATGCAATCCAGTATTTGTTCTCAGTGGAAATGATTAGGAAACAGTAGAGTCTGCCTGACGGACTTGGGTTGTGGCTTTAGATATCTTGAAGGCATTCAACAGATATCTTGAAGGTTTTAGATATCATGCTGGCCTTCCCCACAAGCTCAAGAGCTATGGTGTCTCTGACTGCATATTTGGCTAATCCAGTCATTCTTAACAAATCAAGTCGTGAAGGGTGTGTTGAATAGCCATGCTTCTAGGTTATTTCACATTAATGCAGGAGGTTGGGGTGTCCCTCAGGGCTCCATCCTTGGATGATAACTATTTACTTCTGTCTGAGTAGTAAATCTAAGAGGTCCAACAGTAAAACTGGCAGCTGCTCTTGAAAATGGTGTGTTTAACTTGAAAATCAGTCATTAACTGGGACAAGGAATGACTTGTAAATTTTAATGCCTTCAAAAGGAAACTGCTAACATTTAATCACCACAGAGAACCTTTCTTGCTGCACATCAGCATGGGTGTTGCTAACCTCCAGGAGAGCAAATCATCTTGTATTCTACTGAAGTGGAGTGATTCACTCTATCAGCCAGATAATATTTTTTGTCAGAATCCAGCACATTTATAAATCTACCATTTGCCCATGCATTGAATATAGGCACCATATCTGGTCTGTTGCTCCTGCTATATTTCTCAAGATACTCAACAACATCCAAAGAAGGGTCCGTAATGTAATAAGTCATGACCTGGCATCTTGACTTCAGTTACTTTCCTACAGCCATGATGTAGCTGATTGTTCTAATGAGCTTTCTTCCTTGGTACATTGACTGCATGAATTTAAGTAAACTACTAGATTAGCAACTAGGTCTCACCATTTTACTGTTGAATTAGCTAGAGGTAACCATAAATTCTATTCTAATAGTTTATTTTTTTACACTTCTCACTTGTGGAATTCTCTTCTGATTTCTTGCTTCCCTGCTACCTATAATCTTCTAAAATTTAAATGAATCATTAATCACAGTCTTCTGTCTTCCTGAATTCTGTTCCTTATTTTCCTTTCTCCTCACTAAATTCTTCTCATTCTATTTCACACCCAGTAACAATTTTTTTATCACCTTGTTTCAGGTGAAATGATTAAAAAAAATTAAAACCAAATGTATGCATGTTGATAAACATAAAAGTTCAATGAACCATCCAAAATTTAAATATTACTAGCATATATTCCACCAGAAAGAAAAAAAAAGAAAACTTTGCTGAGTTAATTGCACCCTAGGAATCAAAAAGAAGAGTGAAACCATTTTGCATTCATATCATCATTCTCTGGAATGGTGACAGGAACACAAAATGGTTGCACTCTTCTGGGCTGTAATAATAATGTTAAAAAAAATGCAAACTTGAAAATTCAACAACTTTGTGCTTGAAGTGATCAATAAATTTTTAAAAATCTTTCTAGATTTTCAAAAATTTATTGATCACTGCAAACACAAAGTATTTTTTTGTTTTTAAAAAATATATAATTTTCCAATCAAGAAAATGAGAGAAACAGTAGAAAATGATTTTTGTTGGATATGAATGATCAGAAGAGGAAAAATTGAATACAACTCATAGATAAATGCATACAGGACCACAAGTAATAAATGTATTCATATAATATAATTCATATTCAACAGGCTATTAAACTATTTTATCAAGGTTTTACAAACATTTCTTAAATCAAAGAAGTTTTTTTTTAATGGCATGCATACTTCAAAGTCAGTCAAAGTTGGTTTAATATGGTGAACTAATCAGAAAAAAAGGTAAAAAAAAATAAAAAATAAATTTGTGAATTCATCCATGAAACTGAAGCTGAAGAATCATTGCTTCAAGACTGTAGAGTAAATTCAAATATAATCACAGATAATATGGTTTGGTTTGGTTTACAGCATATCAGCCACAATGGGTTATTTAATGCCGACAAGATTTTTATTGATGGTAATATATTGGGGGTTTTTTTTGGGTTTTTTTAATAAATTTTTTTTTGTTTTTTTTTTTTTAATATATTGTTGGCAATATTTTTTTTTCCAAAATGTATTACTGGTAATAATGTCTTCCAGGGAATAATTTTATCTTCAAAAATGTATTGCTAGTAATAATTTTTCCAAAAATGTATTGCTGGTATTAAAACCTATTTTTATACTTTCATAGTGTTTTGAGTTAAGTATTTACCTATAGCAGGAACCCTGACAAGTGCTACCACCCTGGGTCAGGGTAGACCTGGGAACACCAGCAATTAAGAGGTGGTTCCACACTCTTCAAAACTTCCTGATCAAAAGCTTTGCTGTTGAATGTAGTTTATAGTCTTACCTAGGACGGACAGATAATATGGGACAGAATAGAACTTTTGATATTAAGAAAAGGCACTAAAGATCACTATGTATGTTCCTAAATGAATTATTTCAAAGGGGATAGTGGCCAAATTGAAATAATTAAATATATTATTTACTGAAGTAATAGTCTGAAATTTTCTGATACCACTTTGTAAATAGCAAATATGAAGCATATTCAAGAGAATACACTGACAACCTTGGTTATAATTGCATTAGATCAGAAATCAGTTCTGAAGAACATGAAGTAAATTATTACTACTTCTGGTTCTAGAATATGTTAGCCAATATTAAGATAATACAACCAACTACAGTATATGACTTCAATTAATCAGAATAAAGATGCAACCAATATTACAAATGCACATAAATATTACAATAAATCTAGGAAATATTCAAATACAACCAAACATTATGCAAACATTCACTCTTTGAATATGACTGCCAAAATCAAAAGTGTACAGCTTCAGAATTTTTCAAAATATTCCTCAGTATTATTCTTCCTAAGAAATTTCTGATATTCTGAAATTGAACAAACTGCAAAACAACAAATATAAATGCCATTCCTTTCTTCCACATTCCTTATTTCAATTTCTTATATTTTTCTAACTTTCACTCCAAGGCTCATTGAATGTTTTTTTTTTTTTCAAATGTTTCACAATAACCAGGTTTTTTTGTTTATTTTTTTTTGTTAATAATTAAATGACTAGATAATGATATTTGGATACTGGTTGATTTCAGATAGGAACATCATTTAAAATCAGATATGACTTACCAGTCTTCAGTGCTATCTAACATTGTAATTTGAGTTGAAAGATATTTTTGAAATTCCTCAATTTCTTTCAAACTACATACTCATCCAAACTTGCTATATATTTGTCCTTGGCGCATATGTATGTTAAATTGACCTAGTGCCATATCCCATCACCACAGAGGCAAGATAAATACCTCCTTATATTTTTTCAGCTTTCACTACAAGGCTCACTGGATGTTGTCTTGATAAGTTTCACAATAGCCATAATTTTTAGTTAACTGCAAAGCTGGTTAATTAATGCAACTTCAAACATATTTTTTTTTTTTAAATCAGAAATGAATTTTTGATCTATTAAACATTTTCAGCTGAAAGTTATCTTTGAAATTCCTCTTTAGTAACATTACACTTTGTTTTAAATTACCTACTTTTACATACAAACACACACATATATATTAGTGGACAGTGAAGTCAACACCCAGAGGTGACAGTCTGTTGCATGCTCCGTCCAGGGTATGACAATAAACTATGTCCAACAGCAAGGCCACTGATCAGGAGATTTTGAGGAGCATGGAACCACCTCTTAATTGCTGGTGTTACCAGGTCCACTCTGACCCAGAGTGGTGGCACCTATTAGGGTCCCAGCTATGGGTAAATAGTTAACCCCCAACCTGTGGTCAAAACACTATGAAAGTGTAAAAATAGGTTTTAATACTAGAAATACTCTGTAAAAAAATT